GATTTTCCTTGGATCCACCTTAACGCCATCATGAGAAATAAAGTGCCCGAGGTACTTGACCACTTCTTGAGCAAACGAGCACTTGGACGGTTTGATGTAGAATGAGTTAGCCTCTAAAATCCCTAAGACAATTCGCAAGTGCTCGAGATGATCTGCCCACGTTTTCGAGTACACCAAAATGTCATCAAAGAATACTAATACAAACTTACGTAGGTACTCCTTGAAGATTGAATTCATCGCAAACTGAAATGTCGACGGCGCATTGCACAAACCAAAAGGCATCACGAGATATTCGTAGTGCCCTTGGTGTGTGCGAAAAGCCGTCTTGGGCACGTCCTCCTTGGCCAACCTGATCTGATGGTAGCCCGCGCGTAGGTCGAGCTTAAAGAAGTAACGCGCGCCACCCAACTCATCCAGCATGTCGTCGAAGCTCGGAATGGGAAAGCGATCCTTCACAGTAGCCGCATTGAGAGCTCGGTAATCCGTGAAGAACCGCCAAGTTCCGTCCTTCTTCTTTGCGAGCAACACCGGTGACGAGAACGGGCTCGAGCTATCCTGGATGAGCCCAGACTCGAGCATCTCGCCCACCTGCCGCTCGATCTCTGTCTTTTTGAAATGTGCGTATCGATACGGATGCACGTGCACTGCTCGACCTTCCTCGACCAGAGGTATGCGGTGGTCGAACTCTCGGTGTGGCGGTAGTCCCTTGGGCTCGTCGAGGACCTGTTCGAACTCCTCGAGCAAGTCACGCACCTTGCGCTGCCTCTCCTCGACCACTTGGTTGAACTCCTCGACCACCTCTGCGTCCTTGCCTGTCTGCTCGACCACGACAGCGTACAACTGTCTGCCACCTCGCCACACCTTCTCGATGTTTTTTAGGCCAACCTCCTTGGTCGATCCCTCGCTCACTCTCAAGGTAACCAACCTATCATCGGTCTCAAACTTCATCACGCCCTTCCGATAGTTGGTCGTTACGTCACCGAGCTCTTCGAGCCATTTCACACCAAGAACCACATCAGGTCCTACCAATGGTAAGGCAAACATGTCCGCCTTTACCGTTACTCCTTGGAATTTGATTGGCACGCCTTGGTACACCTTCGAGCACCGTAGTCTCTCTCTATTAGCCACCCGCACCTCGAATGGCTCGACCATGGACGTGGGTAGTTTAAGCTTGTGAGATAGCGTCGCATTAATGAAGTTGTGCGACGACCCATTGTCCACGAGCACAGTCACTTGCTGATCCTTCACCCACGCCGGCAAACGCATCTTCCTTGGCCCCTTGGTGCCCGCCATGGCGTGTACAGATATCTCGGCCTCATCATCGAGCACCTCTGTTAGAGGTATGCTGTAAAAGCTGTGTTTTGCAGTTTCTATCAATTCCATTT